CCAGGTGACAGGAATGCCACAGGCTTCAAGCTCCACCACTACATCCAAGAAGCAGAGCTGCAGTGATGACGTGTGTTCCCATCTGTCATTGTTTTTTAGCTCTGCTCATCTGTCTCTGCTCTGAGTTGTGCAAATGGGCAAAGTAGTTTTTTTTCCTTTGGCCAAATCTTTCATCTACAGGCTTCTGTGCATTTTGTGTGTACCTGTTATGGTGGCTATAGACCTCTGGTTTCTGTAAGCCACCTGTAAGGGCTGCAGAGCCCTGCCTCAGCCCTTCTCATAGCTTGCTTATACTGAGCAACTCCTTTTCAAAGGGTTTACTGGACACAAATAAAATAAAACTTTTAAAGTTCAAGCCTATTCCTTTAATTTCAGGATTATCACTAATTCGAGCTACTGCCTTCCAAAACTGGAAGGACAAACTTCTGGCAGTGCATTTGATGAATGGTGTAGAAAAATGCAGATTGTGCCTTTCATTTGAAGAAGCCTTCCTGTCTGAATGGAGCACTGTATTTCACATCCTAATAACCATTTATTAGCACAGGATCTAAGGAAAGTTAGCTTTTTGGTTCTGTATAAGCCTTTCTATTCACTGAGGTTTCATGAGGTAGCCAAGTGATTTTTCTACCACTGACTGATTCCCAGCTGCTCTAATGAGCAAATGCTCCTCCTGAGACTCAGCTCTCCCCTTGCACGTGATGATTCACTGGACACCCAGTGAATTTAATTCTGAACTGGACTGAAATAATTTTATCTTTCTACAAGTCCTTGAACAACCCAATCTAAGTGGACCTGCTTTAACCAGATGTTCTCCTGATGTCCCTGCAGACCCAAATGTTTCCATGACTGCAGCTGGGATTGCTCCAGCTGCTCTTGGGAGCAGACTTGCAGAGGCATAGACCAGACCCCTTCAGGGTCTGAAATTTGCAACTAGCAGTTAAGGGAAACAGTATGGGCTTTTCATCATAAATTTTGCACTATGGAAACATCTGGATGTCCTGATTTATCCTTTATCAGTGAAGCAGACAGTTCTCCCAAATAGTTTTATTGAAGTTTATCTCTCTCTGACTGTTTGTGAATAGTGTTTAGTTTAAAATAGTCAGTGCCTCCATTGTTACTGTAGAAACACAGCTATAAGCAAATGCAACTATAAATCAACTGATGACTTGGACAGAAAAAAACCAGATTTGCCTGGAACCTCAGCAGGCAATGGAAGGAACTGTTTCCCTAAGTTTTCACTGGTATCTGACCTATATCCTGGTCTTGGCTTGTCAGAGACAACGTTAAATATTTCTCTCCACAGAAAACATAATAATTATGAATAAAAAAAAGTGTTGATTCTCTCATGTTCTATTCTCTGTTGATTCTCTGTTTCCATTGTGTAAAAATACATTTCCTATAGTAACATTAAGAACTGCCATGTGCTTATTCAGAAATAAAGAATTAACATTTACCGTCAGGATTTTTTTTCTCACACTCAAAAAATGCTGTCCTCATGTATGTGAACATGGGAATTGTCTCCAAAGCCTCCGAAGGGTAAGCACATGCCCCAAATTAGATTTTAAGACTCAATTATTAATATGTGTACCTGCAAAGAACTGCTGTGGCTATAATGCTTTTATCATTTTATCTAGAAGCTACTGGAATTTTTTTTTTAAAATAGGTGTATCTGTGCTAGTAAAGCAAAAAAATAGAGGGAGAGATGTTTTGGATTTTTTAAAATATTATTCATGCTATATGAATAATATATTTAAATTAAGATGTGTTAGAAGGGACTAAGACCACAATCCCACTGATTTTTATGCAGTTCCAAAGGCTTTTTTGGTGGAAGAAGTTGGAATCAATTTCTTAAATCTGTAATAAATTACCCAAGAGCTCTTACTTTGGTTTTCTTCCACAGCAGTACAGACAGCTCTTTGTCTCCTTGATCAGACAGGCAGCCTGCAAAGAGCCATTTGAAAAATTCAACAGTTTTCCCTGATCTCAGCCTTTTACACCGACTTACAACTCATCCTAAAATGTCAGTAATAAAGTGAACAAGATCTAAAATGATGAGCTCCACAGTTAAAAGCACCAAGGACAGGTTGGCAAGGAGGCTGAGTGTTGTGATGCTGAGCACTGCAGCGCTAACCTCGAGTGCTCTGCTGTTACCCAGGGTATAACAACATGCTCCCCAGAGTGATGCAGAGATCAGGCTGCCAGCCAAAGCCAAGATCCCCAGACATCCTCAGAACAGGGAAAAGTATGAAGCAATAAGAGTTAAAAGCAGATGAAAAGTCCAAGTCTTGGCACTTACCTTACTGGGCCTCTTTTGTCTCAGGATCCTCAGCCTCGAACTTTCTGTAATGTTTAGACACCTAAGTCTGGTGCTCCTGGTTCCCTGCAGTTACTTCACACTGGAAAGACTAAGGACTGAATAACAATTGAATTGAATAACAAACACTCACTGGCTGAATTCAAACCAGTGTGCTAACAAACAGTATTCATAAACTGGAATAGTTTGGACAGGAAAGGCAGAGACCCAGTGACCCCATGGGCAGTCCCTTGAATTTAAATATGTTATAGCTGAGGTGAATGGAAACACATGTGTGTATGGGAACATCCTCCTCTCCAGACTTGTGTGTCTGGATTTTTGGGATGCTGAGAGGCTGTGTGAGGGGGAAAGCAGCTCAAGCTGCAGCAGAGAGACTGCACTCATGCCATCAGCCTCATCTATGGCAATCTGTGGTTCAAGATGCATTGGCTGTGCCACAGTGACCTTGTGTGAGCCTGCCCAGGCTGTGCAGGAGCAGACTGGCCATCTGGGAGATTTTAGTGACATAACAACTCATAATATATGCTGATATGTTTGTGAGGCCACACATAAAAGATAAAGCCTATATCATATGGCAGGATGGATAAAATGAAAGAATCACTAGTTGATGTAATATGGATCGTGGTCAGAGGATGCTCAGGCAAGTTTATTATCACTCCTTTGAGCTGCTAAGTAGTTAAGGCAAAGTAGATCAGTAGTTCTGATTCAATTTCAGTATCTCACCAGCATTTGGCAGTGGTTGGTGCCCTCAGAAGCATTTAAATATATTAGAAGACCACAGAGCATAATCCTAACAGATGGCAAGGCTTGCTTGGGCTGAAGAAGGCTAAGGAGGATGTTGACATTTCTGTTTTCCAGATGGAAATGCACACTGCAAGTCAAATGAGTGCTAGGAGCTGCACAATGCACTCACCAGAGCTCAAAGCAGATGTCCCACTGTTGTTTGCTAAGACCTTCTCTTACAGTGCTCCTCAGTTTGCTTCCTCTGGCAAAGCCATTTGGGTTTTCAAAGCTTCTAAACCACACTCAAACATATGGTGAGCAAACCCAGGTGGGGAAATAATTGTGAACATCCATGCAAATTTTGTTCTCTAAAACCCTGAGTGATTGCCTTAGGAAGGCGTGCAGTGCTGCTGCACTGTGTACTTCAGCTGCTGCACCTTGCCTGAGGAAATTAATTCTGTAATGCAGAAGTTTGGCACCCTGTGAAGGGACACACCTTAGCAACAGGCTGTGTTGATGCTGAGGATCCCCAGCCCTTGGTAAGGACGCTTGTGTGAACATGCAGGTGACACAGAAATCAAACATTACCGCCTTCACAGCACTGCCACCAGCCCAGAGGCAGCAGGGTTTGCTGGCAGCACTGAGCAGTTGCTCAATGAAGCCTCTGCCTGTGTGTGTTTGTGGATGCTGACTGAGGCTGTCACCAAAGCAATTGTTACAATTAAGGGTTTACATCATTCCATAAATTTTCCCAGCTGGTTTAGGGAACCATTATTATTTAGCAGCTGTTTTTTTGAAGTTGGCAGGGTGTAACGCTGCCCTTCTTCGCAAGGCAGGAGCCCTCACCTCAGCAAAGTGGCTGACGTCAGTCCCAGCTCTCAGGACAGCGTGTGATGGGGTGATGGCAGCAGTGGGACTGACCTGTGGTGTAGCTCTCACTTCACTGCTATTGCTCCACCGGCACAGACGTGAAAGGGGAGAAAGGCAGAAGCGGCTTAAAGTGCAGAGCCACATGAAGGGGTTCAGTCTACACAAAAATGTGGTTCCACGCAGCCTGTTTGAATGACTCAACTTCTTGTAGCATTCTTTCCTGCAGGAGAAATGTGTGGTTTTGTTAAATACTTCAGGAAAAAAAAAGTGTTGAAGCTTATCTCCCCCTTCTGGAAATTCTACCGCTACAAATCCCAGGTAGCTACCTCTCAAACATTTATTATTTCTATCTTGAATACTTGAGGACATATCACATCCTTTATCTCACAGTGCTTTTCAAGTCTAGAATGATGAAAAGCAAAGTATGATTTCGAATGAAAGCAGTATGGGATGGTTTACACTGGGTGGCCAAGAACTTCTCTTGCTAAATTGGCAATGTTCAGTCTGGCAATACCAGGGTTTTCGAAAAAGTCCAAAATCCTCTATTGTTCAGAAGGATTTTGTGTCCTTACCCTGACTTTTGTTAAAGTGAAATCTGCGACCGATGCCCAGCTGATACTTGATCACAGTTTCCCCTCGCGGTGCACCAGCATCCCGCTGTGGCGCTGGGCGGTTTCTTGCAGACACAGCTCCTTCATGGGAAAGGAGCCGAGTGCCGAGCAAACACCTGAAGACGTGGAAGGGAACTGTCTGGGGCTCCGGGAGAGCCGGGCATGGCCCCGCAGCGCTGCCGCCGCCCGGCTCGGCCCGGCTCGGCTCGGCTCGGCCCGGCCCGGCCGGGGGCTCCGGCCTGGCCCGGGGACAGCTCGGCGGGGCCGGCCCGAGGGGGCGGGAGCCCCCGGCCCGTGCCAATGGCTGAGGGGGGGTGGCTCTGCCGGCCGTCTCGCTCGGTTACAGGATGGAAATTCCCGGCCTCCCCGGGGAGGGAGCTGGGGCTGCGCGCTCTGAAAGGCTCATTTATCGCCGCGCTGCCGCGCAGAGCCGGGACCCGGGCTGCTGCTGCCGCCGGCCCCGGCGCATCCCGCCCCGCGCCATGCCCCGCGCCCCGGCCCCGCTGCTGCTGCTGCTGCTGCTGCTGCTGCTGGCGGCGGCCCCGCCGCACGGCGGCTCCGAGAGCCCCAAGGGGAAGCAGAAGGCGCTCCGCCAGCGGGAGGTGGTGGACGTGGTGAGAGCGGCGGGCCGGGGCCGGCAGCGGGGCGGGCGGAGGGGCTGGGGGAGCCGTGCGGACGGGAGGTAGCTGGAGGAGCCACGCAGCCGCTTTGTTATTGCAAAGATCTGAAAAAAGCCAAAGATCCGAGGCTTTCGGAAAACCTCGCGGCCGCTCCAGGCGGGGCAGCGCCGGTCCCGCGCCGCTGGGCATCTCTCGGGCCAGTTAATGACGCCCTTGTTGTGCTGAATCGGGGAAATGCGGAGAACGCGCTGCACGGGCTTTGACACAAGCCGCAGGGTTTCGGCGGCCCGGAGTGTGTTTGGGTGCTTTCCCATCGGGCCAGGGCCCGGGATGGCGGCGGGAGCCGGCGGAGCTCGCACTCCCCGCCGTGCCCGGAGCCGGGGGACACCGCGGGGCAGCCGGGGCAGCGCCCTGGGCTCCGCAGCGCCGCAATCTTACAGCCCTTCCAACATAAGTAGTAAATGCTGCTTAGTGCCTTCCAACATAAGCACTTAGCTGCTGTTTAGCTCCTAAAATGCTAGTGGATAAATAGTAATGAGAAAAACTATCTGCATGCTCACCGAACACCCTTTTCCTTGGAGTCGCATGAATGCATTATTTCCTTTGGCGGCAAGGACTGCACACCATTGTTTGCAATTCCATTGCTACTAGAAACCTGAAAGCATTGGGACTATCCCATCTCAGGGATAGATGACAGGAGAGAAATTTTCCAGTCCTTGGAATGTAGAAAGCAGATGTGAAGGTATTTCTGTGAGTTGCTGGACTGCCGTTCATCTTCTGTAGAAAATCAGTGGTATGACCATTTCTTCCATGATCTCCAGAGAAATCCCCTAAAGCGGTGTGCTGGAAGCACCACTGCTAGCAAATCTCCTTTCCCTTTCACACTACTTCATTGCCTTTTCACTTTTATTGTGCAAAATGAATTGCACTGAGAATCAGGAGTCTGTACACATGGATGAGCTAACATTTTCGGAGCAGTGTTTCAGGGTCCCTCATTTCTTTGAAATTGCTTGGTGCTTTTTGGGTGCAGCAGAGTGAGCAGCAAAGTGCGGATAAATCCATGGCAGCTGACTCACGCACAGCCCAGCTGTACAGACTGCTTCAGCAGAAACCCTGCCAGGGCAGAGTGGAGGCAGGACCGAGGGGGGATCCTGCCTTCAGTGGATGTTTAAAGTATGTTTTATGCATTTCCAGCTTAAGAAAACATGAAAAAGACTTGACTTGGCAAGACAGACAGTTTTAGTTGGAGTGGAGCCCAAAGCCCAGGTGATTCTTGTGCTCCCATTTATTTTTTGGGATGTGCCATGGCTGAGGTGCTCTCCCTGTCTGGCTGTGGGTGGCAGCTCCTGTGTGAAGGCAGGTCAGCCCTTCTTGGTGTCTCTGGGGGTGGGGGGCAATAGGCCAGAGCTTGGCCTGCCCCAGCTCTTGCCTATTTCCACATGTAGGATTTCTGTGGTGAGTAACCACATGCAAAAGCCAGAGCCAGTCATCATTACAAACAGAATCCAGTGGGAAAGCAACAGCAAAACCAGATAGCTGTTGCTGTGTGAAATAGAAATGACCTTGCTTTGTTCTCCTGGCTTGGTGTGTGCTTTGCCAACCAGCCTTCTCTAACTTTTCTAAATCATGATTTTCTTCATGAAAATATTCCAATATTTCCACTGCCTTTAGCCAGCAGGGTTTTCTTTGTGAAGGTAGTAAGGGAAAGCTAGCAACCATTAGTCAAACCCTCATCTGAATTCTTACCAGACCTCTCCATATAGTCACTGATTTTACTTTTGGTGTGGCTCCAGCTAAGGCTGTGATGGCTCTGCTGGTTTTTGCTCCAGAGCCTGTGAAAAGACACAGCCTCAGTGAAGAATTCACCACTCTGACAAGGGAAAGAGGGCAGAGACTGTAGTTTACAGCTCCTGCAGTGCAGAGAGGGGCATGGCTGGCACGAGGGGGAACAGCTGCAGCACTGTTTGTTTTTGAAACAGATGGGGATTAGGTGGTTTAAACTAGATGAAGACAAAAAAATGTGAGAAAGTGGAAGAGTAGAATACAGCTATCTGTGAGGATTTGGGATGAAGACTGGAGGAAGCAGTCAGTCACCAGACAGGACAGAGCACATGAAGAAAAAGCCATGGCCAGCCCCTGCAGGTTCCTGCTCAGCATTCCCATGCCCAGTGCTCCTCCCACATCCCAGCACTAGGGCTGCTGGGGGAAGGAGCTCTGGGCTTCACAGACCTTCAAGGTGGGCAATCCCAGGTCTCAGAAGGTGAGAAGTCAATGTGTGTTAACATGGATTTGGGAGAGCAGCATTTGACCTTTCCTAATACTGGGATGTTAGGAAGGATGTTAGCGTGCCTTCCTCCTCCCACATGTGCCTTCCCACTGTTACAAACAGGATTCCTGTTCAGCTTTATTCCAAGGTGCATCTTCCCACATCCATATCACCATCCATTTGTGTGCATATTGGAGTCTGAATTGTGGGGCTTCATTATCACGATGTGGTTGTCACCTCCTCACCAGAGGAGCAGTAACAGAAGAAAAGTGGCATTAACCTTTGCTCTCTATGAAATGGAAAATCTTCTTTAAAAAAAAAAAAAAACTGAACACATATTAGCATAGAGAGTTATACAAGTAATGGTGGGTTTGGAGAAAGTAACAATTAACATGTGACTTTTTTTTTTTTTTCTGTATTGAAATGTTTTGACTTGTGAGGTTTTACAATAGATTTTAATTCTTGGGCTAGGTAAATTTTTAATGCTAGGATTATGTATCTTTTCATTAAAAAAAGGCATCTTGTTTTACAGCAAATTCTGCTGGCACTGCTTATCTTTGAAAATTTGTTCTTCCTTTCTTTTTTTTCCTTCTGTGGAACCATTTTCTCGGAGATACAGAAATAGCCCATCGTGGCACAGGAGGGGGTTTGTGTTTTGTTGTTATTCACTTGTGTTTGGCTTGGTTAGCCTCAGAGTTGAGGGATGGAAGCAGCAAAATCTGTTCTGTCTTCCAGTATAATGGCATGTGCTTACAAGGCCCCAGTGGCGTTCCTGGACGGGATGGAAACCCAGGAGCCAATGGGATCCCTGGGACACCTGGGATCCCGGGGCGGGACGGGCTGAAAGGGGAGAAGGGCGAGTGCATGCGTGAGAGCATCGAGGAGTCCTGGACGCCCAACTTCAAGCAGTGCTCGTGGAGCGCGCTGAACTACGGCATCGACCTCGGGAAGATCGCGGTAAGCTGGCTCTGCACCGAGGGGCTGCACCAAGCACGGCGAGCTCTGGGGCTGCTCCGGGAGCTGGGCTGCACCAGCCCCACAGATTTCCTGCTGGGGCCTTATTCTGCATGCAAGGGTGAACTTCTCAAAGGATTAGCTACTTTGGATTGCTCTCAGCTGTGTTTCAGCTACGTGCCTGTTTCATTCCTGGAACAGGGTTTCAGAAGAATTTTGTAACTGGTGTAATAGTACATTCAGTAGACCAGATATGTAACTGTAAGGCTGAAAGTCACAGTACCAAAAAAGTACCTCTAGCTTGCCCAAAACAGGGCAAGGTTTTCACCATTTCAATCCTAAGAAGGGATGAACATCTTTAATCTGTTAATTGTACTCATCTTTATAACTCTTGCTTCATAGTGGTTATTCACTGAAACGCAGCTGCAGTTGCAGGATGCTACTGCAAAGGATCAGCATTGCTCAGGAGCAGAATTGCCAGTGTCACCCAGACTGACACAAAGAGTCTGTCCTCCACTGCAGCCCTGGGTGTAAAACTTCTAGAAAAAATCTCTGCTCAATCCCAGCTATGAAGCAAAGCCCAGAATGATTAGAGTGGTTTAACTGCTGTGCTGTGGCTAGAGGGAAAATCAACTTTTTCAGTAGACTTTTCTTACTGCCTGCCTTGTACTTGCAGAACTGTCCCTAGCTTCTTTTTTTTTTTTTCTTTTCCTTTCCTTTAATTTCTTTTTTTTTTTTTTTTTCCCATGATATCAAGCATTTTGAAGACAGGTTAACGATCACTTAAAAACCTGAAAGTATTTATTTTTATTTATTATTTAGCTTTTATTGGGTATAAGCTGCTCAGAAGTCTTGTGATAATCGTTAAGTCCAGGATTTCTGTTAGCAGAGACAGAAACTGTGCTGTTTGGTCATGCAAGGACTTGGGGATTGGACTAGATGATCTTCAGAGATCCCTTCCAGTCCTTATGATTGTGTGATTCTGTGGCTTGAGTGCAGCTTTCAGAGAGCTTATATCCCTTTACATAAATCCCAGAAGGTAACTGGGCTACCAACTTAACAGCAGGTGTTATCTAAAAAAGCTAAGAATTTCCATAATCCATTTCTCCTTTATCATCTATGAGGAGCTGTTCTGATTTGCATCTTTGCACCACAAGGGATTTCCCAGGCTGTAATTTTTTTTCCCCCCAGAGGGGCTGAAAGAGAATAGCCAAAACATTTAAAAATAAATATATTCCTAAATCCATGTCCTAAATATAAATGTATAGAAAAAGAATGGGCTCAACCCCCGAGGTTTGTACCAAAGCACTTTGTCTCCTGTCAGGAATGCACGTTTACCAAGATGCGCTCCAACAGCGCGCTCCGCGTGCTCTTCAGCGGCTCCCTGCGGCTCAAGTGCAGGAGCGCCTGCTGTCAGCGCTGGTACTTCACCTTCAACGGGGCAGAGTGCGCTGGCCCGCTGCCGATTGAAGCCATAATATACCTAGATCAAGGAAGCCCAGAGCTGAATTCTACTATTAACATACACAGAACTTCCTCAGGTATGTATGCCGGGAGAGCGGAGATGGAGCACAAGGCAGCAGCAGCAAACTCAGAGTGGCCAACTCACACTCGTTCTCCTACTCTGCTGTCTCAGAGTTGGCTATTGATAAGTAACAGTATTATAATTATTTATTAAGTGGTACTTTCTTGCTGTGGTACTTTTTGTGGTACTTTGAAATGGAAGAGATTTCTGTCCAGGCAGGTCTACTGATCTCTGCCACAACATGATTACAGAGACATTCTGTGCTGTATTAACCTGTGGAGAAGCAGCCTTACTGCCAAGTAGACAGTGTCATCCTGGCTTAAAATACTGGTATTTGCACATTATCTGTGCAAAAGTTAGACTTTCCTCCTGCAATTTCTACTCTGATTTCGGGTGGGGTGAAAAAGTACCTCCAAAGTGAAATATCTGGGAGCAATTATTCATTTGCTTAGCAGAGGCAAATTAGTGAGTTCATTCACTTAGTGATACTAAGAAAAAGGAATGTAAAGTCTGTGTCCTTTCTCCATTTTCCTCCCTGCACTGTATGACTACATAAAACCTAAGGTCTAGAGCTGTTTTAGGATTTTTTCAGCACAGGGGTAGAGCTGACTTGTCTTCACTACCCCACCTCCATCCAGTGGTGCCAGTGGAGTATCAGGAGGGCAACTGCATGCAGAAGCAGTGTGGAAAAGTGTGGAAAAGTTTACAGGGTGGCAATCACCTTTACAGAGCTGAGCTGTAAACCAGGCATGGCTGTGCCCCCATCACTGCTAGGAAGGTGTCTGGAAGGGTATGAAGCCATATTCCAACTCCCAGTGTGTAAATTTGGGTATTTAAAGCAGCAGGTATATCTCCAATTTAGGCATCCTGCGGCTGGTGATCTGCTTCAGGTAGTGAACCAGTCAATCAGCAGCATGGACAGAGGCACTGCATGGCTGTAACTGATGCTGCCACACCTCTACATAATAGTTTTTATTTCTGAAATTGTTTTAAAATTCTAAGAACTTTTTACATTTAACTAAATAGCACAAGCTTGCAACAAGCTGCTGTTCTTAAGTACTTGAGTCCACCTTCATTTGTGAAATACAAAGGGATTGTGTCTGCTGAGGTAACCTGATTTTTGTCTTTAACCAGTGGAAGGTCTGTGTGAAGGAATCAATGCTGGCTTGGTGGATATTGCCATCTGGGTTGGGACGTGCTCAGATTATCCACGGGGAGATGCTTCTACTGGATGGAATTCAGTCTCCCGAATCATCATTGAAGAACTGCCAAAATGACTTCCCTCCCTTTTTATAATACCTTTTTAAAAAATTTTGTACTATTTTTTTCAGAATTTATTTCAATAGAGTTGGATGCAAGTACTGGACTGAAAGGCACCAAAGCTTTGCATCTGTAGCCTTTGTCTTGTTTTGCACATGGCAGAGGCTTTTTATAATAATCATTTTAGAATACAAATATCAAAACCAAGTTCATTAACATTTTAATTTCTTTTTTGATGTAATACCACCACTGTTTTTAGAATTAACCTTAACTTTTTGTATCAAATAAATAAGACCTTTTACAAAAAAGAAATCCGGGTTATTTTATTGAACATTAATCTGTTTAAGGTATTTTACATGGTGTTATGATACACGATTTTTTTAGAAGGCTTTACAGATAAAGTTCTAAGAAAGTAAAATCAGGTGTTGGCTTTAGCCTTCAGAAAACATAAAATGCACTCCTGTAAACCTGACTGCAGAATAGGATGCTCTGCTGTTACAGTCTTGTCTCAAGGAACTCCTGGTGACTTAACTGTGACCTAGACAACATGGTAAGTGTTAAATACCTCATCATGAATAACTGAGCAAAACCAGACTGTCTGAGCTCTTCTTCCCTCTCTTGCTTCTCGACAGGCTGGATTTCAGTCTAATATCTATGACTGGTCTCCAATACTAAGATGCAGACATGAAATAATTTTACAGTTACAACACTTAATTTCATTGCTGCAATAAAATAATTCTCCTGGATTTAGCCTTTCAGTTATACAGAATCACTTTGGTGTTGGTTAAAAGCTAGATATATTAAGCATTTTAGAAGATACAGACATAAGACAGGTTGAAATGCCTAGGCTTTCCAAAACTGACCTTGTAAAGTGAAACAATGATGTCACAGCTGTTTGACAAGTGACAACACTGATCACGCCAACAGACCACAAGCTTCAGTGTTTTAAATATTTTCTTCCAAAGGCTGCAAGTGACATATTCAAATATTTTTTTAAAACTGTACACATTCTAAAGAGAAACAAGTCATGTTTGTATTACAAAACCAATTTTACATTAATGAAATAAAGAACTCATGAAAAGCATGTACAACATGCAAAAATCTCCACTCTTCCTGGAAATTAAAAGGAAAAAAACCCCATTAAATCTGAGATAATGAATTTATTTTAGCTATTTAGCTATTAATTAAATCTCATTTTCTTTTCTGAACAAGCTGTAAGATTTCCCCCAGGCACCTCTCAGGTGGGTCGCTCTTGCCTGTAGCTGTTGTTGCAGATACCAGGGGAGGACACCTGCAGTGAGGGGAGCACTTGGGCTTGCCCGACTGCAGGATGGTGTGTGAGATTTGCTGCAAGCCAGCAAGTTACACAGCTGGTATTCTGTCTCTGAAGAACTGCAGTGTTTTCACTGGCTTGGACGATGGTTTTAAGGTACCTGAACACAAACAAGTTACTATGAGCTGAGCTGAGCTGTGAACTTACAGAACGTCAGCTAACACACAGGGAGTGATTGTGCACATGCTCACAGCCTGCCCTTGCATTTATCCTGAAGCACGAGGAAGCTGTCCTGGACCCAGTGAACACTAATCCAGGCTAGTATGTGCACAGCTTTTTCTCTTTTATGATGCTTTCATATGTCTTCACAATATATTTTGGACGCTGGGTGGTAGAGTGAACTCAGTGTTCCATTAACTTCATTCTGTGTACCACAAAACACACAAAGGCCAGTAAGCACCCTCCAAAGGCAGAGGCTGCTGGTTTGGATCTACATTATTTACATGGTAAACTTCCAGTAAATTTATCTTCAGCTAAATACACACAGAACCTTCCGTAATAAAAACCAAAGCCAGCCACGCTGGCCCCAGATGAGATTATTCTTTCCAATGACATTATCAACTCTATCAGTAGGGGAGATGAGACTGTGGAAGACAAAGTGTAAATTATTAATAAATTTAGTTACACAAAATGTGGTGTGTGGCAACAGTAGCTACAAAGACAAGCAAGTGGATTGCTGAATGAAGATTCAAAATAGCTTTCCAGTTTTTAGGTTACAATTTAAACCAAGTCCCTAATCTGTTACATTTTTATTAAAAATGGTTCTTTCTGCTTTAGGTTAATCTGGTAAACAGGAAACTTCTCCAAGTGATTATTCTGCTCCCTACGAAACTGATGATTTCTCCCTAACTGTTGGATAGCCTTTGCTAACTTATTTCCTAGTTAAATTATATATACTAGATACTCAATATTTTCTTACCAGCAGCAAGAGGCAGATGTTAGGGTCAGTAATGTCTTTTCTGAAAGAAGTAAAAAACCCAAACTCAGAACTCTAAAAAGTACATATCCTTGATGGCAATTATTGGTGTGGAAAAAACCCATCATTATTATACAAATTTACCGAGAAGGGAATTAAATTTATCAGTAAATTAGCAATCAATATATTAACAATCTTTTCCTTAAACCAAATCAGAAGACATTAACAGATTGTTCTGGTTTTTTTTTTTTTTAAGAAAGTCCTGTGCACAGGATTATTTTAGACTAGAAACAATTTTTTTTTCCAGATAATATTATTGAAAATAAATGTGGTCTTATTTATTACTACACTGGCTTGAACACTGCATCACTATGGGATTACTAGAAAAAAAATCCTCATCTTTAAAATGTAAGTCCACTTTCAAATATGCATTTTGTTAGTAATATTTGGTCAGCTGTATCATTAATGGAGACAGACCGGCACAGAGGGAGATGGAGAGAGAGTGAAAGACAGAAAATGAATTAAGTGGCCAGCAAGGCATGCACTTCTAGCACATCGGTCTGCTGCTAAAACCAAGTCAAAAACCACAGTGCAAGTCTGGCCTGGTATGAGACAAGAACTGAGCTTCACCAGACTTGAAATTATTCAAACACAAGAATGGACAGCTGTTTTAAAAAAACAATTTCAGTTTCCAAACTGCACCCCACTGAGGCAGCATTTTTATGTTGGATGAACAATGGAGTGTGAAGCATTCCATATCCTAAAATCTGATGAGTAACACAGAGGTGGATTCAGACGACATTCCTTGTTTTAATGAGACTCAGAGATTTGTGAAAGTTTTGACAGGGCCCAGGGCTGCTTTCATATGAAGTTTTCCACTTGTGCAGAAGCAGAATCTCACCAACTGTTATCTTGAGACTTGCTGAAACTGCTTAGTGGGTTATTCCAGGCAGGCCAGGATGAATGGATTGCTGTGCAGCTGCCATCACCCAGTCACAGCACTCTTATTTCACAGTTGCAGACATCTGCCTCAAGCAGGCACAGCTGACTCAGAGAGGAAGGCAGCAATGCAGGAGCATTCAACAGGAGAGATGTTGGCAGGGTTTATTGTCTCTACATTCTTTCCTCAAAATAACAGATCAAGTCACAGAGTCAAAGAAGACTGCTGAACTAAATTTCTCCCAGATCATAAATATAAAAAATAAAGGATAGATTCCTTCCTAGGAACACAAGTTCATACCTTTTAATTATTTTCTTTCCTAAAACCAAGTAAAAAGCCAGACACATTTTCATAAACTACAAAGGTAATACAGCAAGCAGGCGTCACTCTGATTACATTAGGTATAATTCCTTTGTAAAATCCATGAACACCTTCTTTCCTTTAAAGACAAAAATTAAAAAAAAAGGTTTTAATTAATGTCTTTTAATAGAAAAAAAATCAGACATAAAGCCTGGCATTTTATTTCTCACACTCCCATTGAGAGATGTACTTCAGGTTAGAAATAACAATTTCAGACAGTGTTTAAAGTGCATCAAGTATTAACCCATTGTTTTTTCTTCTGAACATATAATAGCATTATGTAGATCAGTTATTTAGCCTAGGCTTTGAGTGTTTTTTGTGGGTATTGTCCAAGTAAGGCAATTTATCATCTTGCTTCATGCCACAAGAACTGGCTAAATAACTAAGAAAAGCCAGCATTCATGTTTTGATAATTTAAGCACCCCTTCCAGAATTTTGATTCTACTGGCCAATAAATGAGAATCTAATTTCACCCAATTTGAATCAGTGTGTCATGCTAGAGCTATTAAAAAGTTTTAGAGACATTAAATCCCAGCTCTTTAGGTGCAGGCCTCACAGGCACAGGACACCTTGGAGGATGAGAGAACAGATCCTAAGAAATGTTTGGGTGTGGTTTACACAACCCTCCCTAAGTCCCATTTGCTTCATCATGAGCTCAGCAGTGGCTCCACAATGGCTGCACTCCACCAGAACTAAAAAGCCTTCCTGTAGCCTGCAGCACAGAAGGGCTCAGCACTGACACATCAGAGCTACTTCTGCTCTGAATTGCCTCCAGCCAAAATGGTTGCACAGCCTCTGAACCAGGGGTGCTCCTGGAACAACAGAGCCTCGGTCACCTACTGAGCTGGCCCCTCTTCACAGCCCAGGAGCCCATTCCCAGCTCTCCAGCAATATGGGCCAAGCCAGAAGCACTGCCCAAAGCCACGGATGCACATGCAGAGGTGGCCACTCTCAGTAACTACACAGGCTGTGTGAAAACTCCCCTGCACTGTGCAGCTCAGGGAAGGTTTGTGAGAAGATATGAATAGGTGTGAGGTCACAGGTCTCTCAAGGTCCTACAGGAAGCTGGGACCAGACTACAAGTGCAGTCAGGCCCCAGGGTAACCCAGGGACATCAGTATAAGCAGCTCTGGCTAGCTCACTTCACCTTGCCAGGAATTTGGATTAGCCACAACTCCCAGCAGCACAATGCTCCTGTCCTATGTGATAACCCAAAGCAGTTCAAGTGAGACTTCATTCAGTGTCCCAAACCAGCCATGACAATGTTATTTTTTGGCCTGTGAAATTTGCTGGAGAAGAGAGAAGGGAGACAGAATAAACAGCAGAAACCTGCAGGGATGCGGCATTGACTCTCTCCTATCTCCTGGGCTTACTGCTGTTTGGTGGCATCTTGCACAATATGACTTTGTACAACTAACACTTTGTTTGCTCTGAACTGTACTGGTTCTGCAAGTCAGCACAGAAGCCAGTAAAGGTAGCTCTGATTCTGTAAAACTCAGTTTCCAACGTGTAGGCCTTTAATTTTGCACACCTACCTCCACGTCCTGCGGATCACATCAAACACCCCGGAATATGTGTTATGCTGGTCTTGAAGACGAGCTCGCACAACTTGATAGGGATATGTTGCTACCACAGCAAATATTTTGGATACAGCTGCCATCATTATGTATTCCACA